CCGGTACGGCGGGAAACCTATAACAGGTACTCCACGCAATGCAAGATTTTGACGACAAATGATTGATAGGGAGATGATTATCCCAGTTCATTGATTAATCACCTGCAGCATATTTACGGAAAAAAACATTTTTTTAACAGTTTTTTTTTTATGATCAGTAACTTCGCAAAATAATGTTAGAGCTAGTTCTGAGAATGACAGAGAACATAACAAGTAGAAGTATTATCTCGAAAAAGAAAATTAGCTTTTAGTGGTGGAGCTGAAAAAGGAATAATATAAATATATTATTTTTTACATCTTTATAATTACGATCCCTATCCCATTCTCAATCAACAGATTGCTCATTACATGTATTTTCGTTATCCTTTAATTAAAATTAAACACAAAGTCAACATAATTTCTAAAGATAATTTTAGTATTAATTTGACAACATTTATTCAAAAACATATTTCGTAATCGTAGTTCAGAATACATGTACACTAGATGGTGACTGATATTTAAAATCGGCAGGAAATTTGTATCACGTTCATGCGTCTTAAAGCTGAACTCGAATTGTAAATACTGCACTGGAGTATAAATACTTTACACGTGACTGCTTTACTGTCAAGGGTATCGGCGTGAAATGGCGACACGTGTTCGTGCGGATTATCTTTATTTGGGAAATTATATAACTTGCCTGCTTCACTGACCTTAACTGTTCAAAACTGAAAAAATGTTGACAAATGAAACGTTTAGGTAGTTAATCCTGAACTGTATTTTTGTATCAGATGCATGGATAAATGAATTACTGTATACAGAGAAATTTTCGACCCCGTTTTATTTTCGTCCTATCCTCATTCAGGTGAATTTAAAAAGGGGCGAATTCTAACAATACAGTATAAGTTTTCAAACAAAACTATGACCGGGCGAATTTAACATGTTTAAAACGGGGTGAAATTGTTTGCAAGCCAGAAAGGGCGAAATAACACGGGGCGAAAATAACCCTGCATACAGTATACATAAATTGTGAAAATAACAGGTTCGTCAAAATGATTTTGACGAACTTGTTATTTTCACAATTTATGTATTGCTAATAGAAATAAGTTTATAAATATGTTCTTTTCCATTTCTCCAAGGAAAGCATGTTGATTCTATTGACCCGTCGAGGTAATGTTGGACCGCTTACGTGACGCAAGGGGTGGAGCCTAATCTCATGCATTCGTCAACGTTGATGTTCGAACCTGAGATAACAGCACGGAAGACAGTACAAAATACATGTATGTTAAAAGAAATTAAATTAAAGGTATAACAAATCATTTAATGACTGTGTTCTCGGGAAAATGCGTTTTATCGACCCACGAACCAAACTGTCTACCTTCGGCGGCTTTTGGGTTCGACAAAACGCATGTTGCCCTAAAACTCATGATTAGTCAATAAATGTATGTTGATGTCATAAAGGGGTCTCGATTGATCTTTGGCTAGGTTGTGACAATAATGCACGCACATTTTCTGGGGCAGAGGAAGGTCAAGGAAGTGGTAAGTCGGGTTTTCTATCGGTCCTGCAAAAATTGGAAAAAAAAAAATCATTAAATTTTTAAAACTTATTTTCGAACATTCTACATTCAGAATATAAACTTCGTAGGGATTGATTGTATGTTGTTTAACGTCCATCTCGAGAATTTTTCACTCATATGGAGACGCTATTGAAGTGCGTCTTTGTGATAAATTTATGAAAGAATCCTTTTCACTGTTTATAACACTAAACTAAGCTTCCTCGTATGTGCTGTAATGCTGTGAGTGTAAAAGTGACAAAAAAGTTGATGACAGACAGTCAGGCACAGCAGATCTTGTTACTGACATCCACAGTGTGATCGATGGTGGCACCCAGATAAGTGATGGTAGTAAAGATAGTGAAATTACTTTGGTAGAAATTCATTCACTACTGACCCAAATTTATCCAAAACTTTAGAATGTCAAAAAGATGTTTTTGACAGAGTTATAACAGGCACTTGGGAGCTGAACCACCCCCCTTTCATTTTTTTCTTTTTAAATCTGGGGTCGACGCACTATTTCCTATTTTGGTAATCTAATAAGCATTACTTGATATCGATAATGTAACCCTTTTGTATCTATACACTGTAAGCTGTTTTAAAGTATAGCGTTTTCGATTGACACAGTACATAAAAATACAGAGGGCTTGCAACTCTTTTCTCGTCATCCGCCTCACTTCTTTTAAACTTTGCGCGATTATTTATCTAAAGCAGAATAAAATAGTAATATGAATACATCAATAAATTTGTTAATGAAAATTACAGTTTTAGTGCCCTTGATTTGTAACTATTTCGACTAAATCACTAGCATCTAGGGTAAATTTTGTTGGTGTGCACCAGCTGGTCTAACTCCAACTTCTTTACAATGCGTTGCATAAAAAAGTAACTCCAACTTCTTTACAATGCTTTGCATAAAAAAGTTTTTCCCGCCTTGTAAAATAATATTGTGAAATTTGGTTGTCAATGTCCTTATTAAATATTAATCTACATCCATCAGAATTAGCTTTAGATAAGGGTTTCTGGTTATATACAGAACTGACCTTTTTTGTGACGAAAAAATCCGGATTTTTCCCCACTCACAACTTATGTTCTGAACGACATTACATGATGAAGCTCGAAAATACCGGGCACTACCGTGACCACCTGATGCACACCAACAAAATCTAGCCTAGAAGCGAGTGATTTAATCGAAATATTTACAAATCGGCCACACTCTGCTTTTGATAAAAAAAATCGTGCAATGTTTAAGCGAGGTGAGACGGATGATGAGAAAAGAGTTGCAAGGCAAGCCTCCTCTATTTTTACGTATCCGTCGAAAATGATATATTTAAAAACGGCTTATTACATATAAGACAAACGGGTTACACTATCGATACCAAGTAGTGTATACAGTATATTACACAACCGAAATAGGACAAAAGTGTGTCGACCTCAGATTTAGAAAGAAAAAAAATGGAAAGGGTGGTCCCGCGCCTAAGTGCCTGTGAGTTTTAATCCCAATTTCGTTGTACCGGTGTGAAGTATTGGGTTACGGAAAACATAGATGTCATAGAAAAGGTACAAATTTAACATTTTTAAAATTTGTTTTACATGTCAAGTCCAGGGCTCCAAATTGTATGGTGTTTTGGGAAACTCGACGATATCCTTTAATACATGTAATACGTATAGAGGTACGAAAAATTACTTATTGGGCTAAACTTCTGAAGTCACATGAGAGTAAGTTGACAAACATAATGGATAGCTTTCTGAATTAAAGCTTTTCTGAAGGCTTATTTATCTTTTCTAAAAGGATATTTGCCTGTAATATTTCTTAGATATGACACTACTCTTCCTTACTTTGTATAAATAATTTTGTTTATTCAAGGAATCATTGCCTAGTTAGTATAGTATGCCAGAGCATTAACGATATAGTCGGAAACATGGGGTAATTTACATAACGGGCTTCATAAGTTATCCCACGTTTCCCACGATCGGTGATGTCCCTGGCATTCTATACTAACTAGACAGTGATTCGTAATATTTCCATTTTATTGTGAAATTTTATTGTACATGTAGTCAGTAGACAAATAGTTTAAATTACACGAGGCCCCCCATGTCAATTTCAATAGTTCTCGCTCACTGACGTCAAACACAAAGACAACAGCACGAGATTTACATGCATATTTGGCCTACTTAGCGTCAGACACAATAACAGACGCGCACGAGATTTACATATATCATATACATGTACCTAGTAGTGTATCAGCCCTGATACAGGCGTTTTGGACAGGCGAGACAGCGCCTGGGAAGTAGGGCTGTCTCGCCCTCGGGGCTGAGATATCTCTGTCTCGGCCCGTCGTCAAGGGGCTGTCTCGCCCCCAAATTTAAAATCATTATTTCTGTTTAATTAGTGTGAATTCAGAGTAAAATTCATATTTAAGTATTAAAGAGAAACAATATATCTCGAAAAAATTAACCTGATTTTTAAAAAAATATTTATTTATTCTAGAATTTTGAGAAAATTGTTTTAAAAATTGCGCCAAATGATAGCACTTGTGACGTAAGAAAGGTAACTCTTGTTTACTTCTAGGACAGCAACAAATCATGTTTTGAAAAAAGTGGACGTTTATTTGCTTTGACAGTAAGACAATACCAGTTTTTTTCATTTAATGTGTCATTTTTAATTAAATTTTTATCGTAAACAAAACAAATATTTACTATTAATCGCAGACTTGCAAATTGTAAAGTTATAACCCCGGTTCGATACAAAGTGAAAGTAGAATATTTTTAAGTTTGGGACCTTTTTTAAAAATAATTGTTAGGCCTTATCTAATGTGCTTCAAAAAGAAATGTTTCAAAACACCAGGACTATTCTTTTTAATGACCAGACCAGGCAAATCTTACTCTTTATAATACGATTATTCACTGTCAAGCAACATCTTCAGGAACGTCGAAATAAAGAAAGATAACTCTAATTTTCTTACGACACATTCGAAAAATATCTGAATATTTGTTCCATTCTTTGGTTTTAGATATATGATATAAACAACATCACACCACTGTTTTGATCTCGTCCCTGGTATCAGCCCTCGGATGGTCTCGGCCCGCGCCCTCCGGGCTTGGGCCGATACCAACCGCTCGGGCTGATACCAGGGCCGAGATCAAAACAGCAGTGTGATATTCTATATGTATATAAGGCCTCCTTAGCTCTAGAACTATCGATTTGCCTTATTTACATTCCGGTAGAATTATCAAGAAATCAAGTCCACTAACTTTCAAAGATCGAGTTTTATCACAGAGAAAACAAATAGAAAAATATGTAAATAATTATGTTCTTGTACCTCATGTACCATTGTGTGGTCAGAGAGTAAAACTGAGACAGAGAGAGAGAAGGACAAAGACCCATCAATTACTACGTTGCAAGTCTGAAGTAAAATTTAATGGCTATAAACGACAATAATTTGTAACAGTTTCAACCAATACAAAAAAATATCACAGACAGCAAAAAATATGATGTTCTCTTCACAGCTTTGTTGAATCTCCCTGCAACAACAGAAACAAAATGTAAATATTCGATTTCAAAAGCCTACATGATATATGTCGTATGACATATTTAATGTATTAAATATTAATAATCCAACCTTCGTTGTGGAATTATTGGACGGTGCGTCAACTTCAAAGGTAAATACAGGATTAGCTTGGCCGTTAGGACTTGTGGGATCGGGTGAAAGGGAAAATGTAACAGTGTCAGACATTCCACCATCTAGGAAACTGCTGGTTGTAGATACAGATCTTAGCAAATGGTTAGCTTCTTTAATCTGAGATGGAGTAGGAGATGGAATATCATCCTCTTCTTCAGAAGAAGATTCGCGGGCTAAGTCGGGTTGACTTCCAACAGCTCCTATCATGGCGAGCGAAGCAAAGCTAGACATCCCAGACATTATGCTGCTTGTTCTTCGCCTTCCTGTTAATAAAATTCTGAAGCTTTTATCATCATAACTGAAAAGGGTGAAATAAAATAAACTGTGATCGATCTAAAAAAATCAATAAACAATACAAATCTGTTGAGAGGGTACAAAACACAGACCTCTAAAATTTCAAGAGGTTGGATGATGAGCCCAGGGGAAGTAAGCATCACCTGTTTACCACTTATACACGCTATGAGTCTTATGTACATGTAATATTCTCTAGTCAAATTCAGGCCAAGCAATTGTATATAATTAATAAACAAGTCAGCCAAAACTGAATAATGTAACCAGTGTATCCCGTACAAAGCGAAGTGTCAGGGAATTGATCAAAAGACAAAAGGAAAACTTAATTTTGGATCAACTATTACATCCCCTGACATTTTGTTCAGGTAAATTATGTGGTAATTAAACACATTTTAAAATATATTTTAAATAATGACAGGATACGGTTATCTTCAGGTACACTGTTACCTATAGGTGCACATGCAACAATCTCCGGCTCTTTCGCTCCATACTTTCGACATAGGCCTTGTAGCTGCCGAAGTTCAATCTAAGGAAAAAAGTAAGACAATACTAGCTATATGCTCTTACTAATATGACATGAACAATTTGTGTAGTTTGAACTCCCCTTCTCTAAATACAGTCTACTTGTCGACGATGATATCCGCAGCATGTTATTTTTAACTGAATTTGATATTAATGACGAAAATACATATTTCGGCAAAATCAGTCATTATATTTCAGAGGAAACAACAATGTCTTCTTACATGTGTCCATTGCAGTGACTAAATAAAAAAGCCGTGACAAAGTGTTTTACTTTATGTATGAAAATGATTAACTTTATGTGATTTCTTTCTGTTACACTGTAATCTCTGCATACTTGAAGCATTAAAATATATACTTTTTGTCCGACCGTCAATTGTTTGACTATCTCGTTAATATGTTTTTGCATCATAGCCAGATGTTATGGGAAACAATATTACCATTGTTAATGAAATTGTACGTACTTACCCTATATTGTTCTAATTTGTTGGTAAGTTCTTTTTCTCTCTTGACGAGTCGTCTGTATTGCTGTTTAATTACTTTCAGTATTACTAAATCCTTTTCTTTGATCACAAGAACGAAACCTGTAAAGAATCAATTTAACACATTGTGTAGATGTGCATGTTACCAGAAAATTCGAATTCCTTCATATTTCCAGGAATTTCCGCACTTTTCCACTTAAATTTTTGGCTATATCTCGAACATGTTGAATAAAGAGATGAACTGTTTGTCAGCACAACTCCTCATAAACCGCTGCACACAATTTCGTCAAACTTTGCAGATATTTAAGACACAATGTGTCGATGTTTATTTTACCAGGAAATCCCGATTCCTTCATATTTCCAGGAATTTCCGCACTTTTCCACTTAGATTTTTGGCTATATCTTGAAAATGTTGAATAAAGAGATGAACTGTTTGTCAGCACAACTCCTCATAAACCGCTGCACACAATTTCGTCAAACTTTGCAGATATTTAGGACACAATGTGTAGATGTTTATTTTACCAGGAAATTCCGATTCCTTCATTTTTCCGGGAATTTCCGCACTTTTCCAATTAGAGTTTTATTGGCCCAAGGCCACGTTTCACCCGATCACTCTATTGAGACCAGATCGAGATACCCTTTCATACAAAGATCCTTTTAATTTGTTCAAGTTATGGTTTACAAAATTGCAAATTGATTGCATTTAGGTTATTTTTGTGCGAGCCAATTAATGATACATGTGCTTTGTTTGCTCTAAGGAGAAAACTCGCACAATATGAAATTTTGGTAGGTGCATTCTGGAAAATATACTTTTGTGACATTATTTACTGCACATGTAGCCTAAAAATTTTCCGTTTCCCAAATTCACTTCAATAAAATAATTTTATTCGAATTACAGATTTTAAAAATTCTAGTTTCAATATACCGGGTAAATTCTTTTAAAGTCCCCTTAAAAAGGGATTAAATATTTTTATACGATTCGTTTACTTACTATTGACAATTCTTATCACTCTCCAGGGTAAAATTATAATCAAAATGGTGGCCGCCTCTGATCCTGGCTGAGCCCAGATTCCTTCATAAAACGATAGATCTAGGATCCAAGATACAGTTACAACGAAAGCATCAAAAACCTAAGAAAAGGAAAATAAGGGAGTCAACGTTTTAACAAAGAGGTTGAACTAGCACAAGTGTACATTGTAAAGTATCAATAATTGCAGCATGTGCTATTCTGCTTTACACCATGCAAGATTTATATAATGATTTAGAGTTCAAAGCTCACATAATAATAAGGGAAAAATGTACTTGGCCAGATGTATTTCTACCTCTTACCTCTAGTCTGTGATTCAGAAAGTGACTTCCCATCGCGAAGATTTTCAAAAATGTCTGAAATATTGAACCTATTAAAAGTTAACGCTCTTTTAAGAACCCTCTCTACACTGCACACTAAAGAGTTCTGATTCTAAGGTATTTTTCTGCAGTTAGAGTGATCTGCCCTTAGATATAAATTCTAAAAAATAAAAATTTACAATATATTACTCAATCTGTAATGAATTCAAGTATTCTTAACATTTTAAAAGGCCAAGATAAATTAATTGAACGTGTTGTTTACATGATTGTATTTTCTCCATTGAAGTTATTCACAGTGATTTCTATTCACTTATACTCTGTTGTCTTTGAACATTTTTCCCGGGGGTAAAAGCCACGCACCATATGGTGAAAATTAAATAAATAAGCTCAATATTAACTCCTTTATACAATATATTTTTCTCCATGTCCAAAAAATATTTTGCACTTGTGTAGAGAGGGTCCTTAATTAAATAGAAATAAAATAGGAAATTTAATTGATAGCTTCTCACTTCTTCGAGTACATCGAAATCATAATCAACAACGATTCTTTTACTGTCACATTAGATTTTTTTTAATCATACGAGGGTTGTCCGTAAAGTTCGTTGACAACATTGATAATTACTGACAAAATAAAACTGCTAAAATAGATGAAACTATTATTTTCCTTAAATTCGTGTTTCAGTTTATTTATATCATATGCAAGTTTTTAACAAAAACAAAGCACAAATAGTTTTCATTTTTATCAGATTCAAAAAATACACATACTCATACCCGGAGCACAAAAACGAAAATTCTTGACGTTACCCGATGTCAAAAATTTAATACGAGTACATGTAACTTTTCTCAACACAGCAACCATATAACTCAATACATTTCTTCTATCGTTTTAACCACTCATAAAAATATGCACAAAATGTTCAGGTTTTATACGCAAAATGATAATAAACAATGCCTGTCTCATATCCTGTAATCATCCAACCTCTGTCCGCGTACAAACAAAATCATTTACGGAAATATGGAAAAGTCACGTTACGAAATTCATTTTTACAGCACTGCATTCTCGGAATAATGGTTTTTCTTCACACATGTTATCCTGTAAACTGTTCCTTTCGTCCGAAAATATTACATACTACTTAAATACTGATAAACGGCTTCTTTTACTATGTTTTCCCGACTGTTCACATAATTTATTGGTCTCTGTGGGTGTTTTTCCGATGTTTACGCAGAATTTTATCACTGCTCCGCCTTTTCCGAGAACGTCCCTTTTCTGAACAATTCCGATCCGTGTTGATATGTTCTACCTTTGATTGCTTACTTTGAACTTTCAAATTTTGCAGGTTTAACGTAGTAACTTCTGTCAACCTCATAATGTAAAAGTCATCCAGATTTACGCAGAATTTTATAAAATTCAAATGAAATTTATGAAGTGATAAATAATTTTAAATTAATATTTTGCGCTGTTCCCGGTCTCCATTTCATGTCCAGTTATGAAGCCATAAATGTAATTAAACATTTGAAATTGAATACAACTTTAGATTTTTCAATTCACATTTAGTAAAGGATTAGAAATATGCCAATAATAAATATCAATGACACAACTTTTATTTAACTTTTAGGTTGTCCACGAACCCTCGTACAACATGTTTGTATCCCTATTCGGAACGATATGTCATCTTTATTGTGATTTTCTTTAAAATCGCGATAAGCCACTCTGAATTGTTACAATACTTAAGAGTGATGGAAATTATCATGATTGTCTTGTTCATTACCTCAAATACAAGAAGCGACAAAATCACTAGACTCCCTAGATGAAAGGCGTGTGTAAGGGTTTCAACCAAAGTGTGTTCTGCGTGTGCGTCATCGCCAGAAGCGGAAGCTCTTTTGGATCTGTGGTGTATCACATCTCGTCTTCCGGTGTCCTTAATGAGATAAATCACTATGTGACTCGGAAATTTTCAATGAAAATTGAAGTATTGACACTGAAAATTCGTCACAAAATACTCAGAAATTCATTTTTTGTTTAAATACTTGACGGTATGTAAAAAATATTTTGGATATTCCACAAAACTTTTTTAAAATACTCTACAATACTTTCTCTTGAAAAACATTCACTTTATTCCTAAGCTTGATTGTGGCTTGTTCGATTGTTTTCTTACATCACTGAGATAGGTATCTCTGTTGTGATCATCGTGACTCTGAATGATGGAACTGTTTGAATAACATGAATGTTTCTTAACACTTTCTATTGCCTGTTCGAGGGTAGGTGAATGTCCGTCCACCGTTGTGTAGTTGGCTTTCGGACAAACTTTCATTAAAACAGCCACTGTACTTTCTTTCAGAACATCACTGTCGTGTAATTTTTCTGAAATTTGTTTCAACGTTTCATAGGGGCAATAATGATTAAATTTATTTTGTATTCATTTCAAAATAGTATGAGGACTTTTATGTGCTCAATATTAAATACAAGCTAAGGTCATTGAAGTTGGGTTTAGCAACTTGAAATTAACAATGTACTTCAAATAACAGAAATATGCATTCAATAATATCAATTAATAACAGAAAATGCATTTAATATTAATTTTGTAATACATTTGAAAGAAATTTTTAGCCCCCTCTCACCTTGAGCTTTCTTTTAATCTATGCATAAAGTTCATGAACCCCATTTCACTGACCCATACTGACCTGACATGATGAGTATATCGCATATGATTTGTCCCAGCACACAGCCAGCATCGAGAGCACTGAGGACACAGACTGTGATGAGGACTACGTGAGTATGTAGAAGCTGAGATAGTCGTCTACGGCATCTACAAAATTGTTTCCATGGCTTATCAATCCAACTATTACTAATGTCTTACCACAATTTTTTTTATTAATATAGAAAATTTGTGGGAAGGCAGTATGTGAGGTTTTGTTAGATTTGTCATCTTAGGAAGGTATAGCAGGTCATCTTACATTAAATGTTTTTGCCCTCTCCCGAGCAATTGGCTAAAACGGCCCGACTCAAACCTTTTATTTACTTCCAAGAAACTGATATTTTTTTTATTTTAACCTTTATTTTCTCGTTCCGTCAACGTGGTTGTTGAAATTTTCTGAGAAAAAATCCCACTTACCTTTCTACATGTACCTCGGTCGGAAGAGGGCAATTTTTTAATAAAGATAGCCTCATAGAAAAATACAAAATTGCTTGAGTAATGAAAGAATCCAATATGATATTTTAAAAAACGCGAATGAACTTGCGCATATGTGTTGTAAAAAATTAATATGGCTCCATCCTTCAGAAAACTTTTCCCGCAAGATATAATTTGCTTAAACTCACAATTAAATGAATTATCAAAAAATCAAGAAAATGTGTATTTTCTACATATGGAGATGATTGAATTGATATATGCTGTAGGTAATAGGAGGAATCAACATTGTATTTAAGTTCCTTTTAATGTTTTTCTGATACTCTGAACACGGCACATGTGCAAGGAGTAATTAAAAGATTTTATTTTTATCTCTCATGAAAATGCATGGTCAAATAAAGGCTCTAAGCCTTCTTTTCTTGTGCCTCTTTTATAATATCCATTCGAAATGAAATCTTGGACTATCTCATGCCGTTTAATTTGTTATTCAATAAAGATGTTAACTTTAATCTAAGCATTGATTTCACGCACTTGTTGCCATATGGTAAAGTTGGAGGTCCAGGGTTATATTTTTGCTGCGCCGCGTCAAATCTTAGACGAAACATGCGTGCGCCAAGTAATGTTAAAAGTCGTGGGTTTTGAACCCCTGCAACAGGATGTTTAATCCTTACATAGATTATTTTGTTTCTTAGTTTGGTTCCACACGCGTGTGTAAAGGTCGACAACGCCAGATTTATTTACAGATAAAGCATTACTTTCATTGTATTTACAATTCGATATCCAGCTTTTAATGATTTCCTGCAACTGAAATATTTTGCAGCGATATGCCCTTCCTATAGGAGTTTTTCTCTGCTTTTCTGGTCTTCCATATAAATCCATCACGTATTTCTGTATAGCTCTATCCAATTGAGAGTATTTCCAATTACTTCAGTATTCAAAAAGCATGAACTCCGTTACCCGATTACAACATTGTACGTCACTTTCAGAGCCTTTCAGGTGTAACGGTTTGATCATTTTATTATCGAGTTGACCAACCATGACAAAGTTTCAGTGATCGGGATGTCGAGGGTTCGATTGATCTAGTCGATTAAAAACGTTGGTGGCAACTGTTCCTTCACCGAGTGCTTGGCATTATGCAATATTGGAATCTTTATTTTTTAAAAAAGCTTGTTCGACGTGTAATATTTGGAAATATTTATAAAAATTTCGTCAGTCTTTTCCCCAAAATATCACAATAATATCATGATATTTTTACAAGAAATTTTTACAATGATTTTAAATGAATAGTCAATATCGTTCTTTAAAAAAATATGCTAGAAAAACAAAATTTCACTTTTTAAAATTTTTATGTAAATAAAAATAATCATGTTTGGATGGTAAGATGACGTTCTTTTCATCTTTAACAAATTTATTAGATTTTCTGTAATTGTAATCTGAAAGATTGAACAAATAAATGAATAATTTCTGGACTTTATATGTACCTAAATACCGGTATTTAGGTCTCCGTATCACGATACGTATCATGCAACAAAAAATCGCGATATACCGGTATACCGATAAAATCGCACATCCCCATAAAATAACCTTGTTTTCAAAATTATATAAATAAAGATTGGGTAGTATTTTGGACGACTTGTTTCATACCAAATAATGTATTTTTATACAGATTTTGTTGACTACGGAAAGTTCCGTTTTTCATAACAATACAAACGGCTTACAGTGGATGTGTCCGATCAACGGGATGCCTACTACTACTAGGTACCTTATCCCTCCACTGGAATTTCCAGGGATCCGTGATTTATATCCTTTTTCGCGTATTTGTTTTCCTTATAAATGTTTGAGATCGACCACTTCGCTATCTATATCTTCTACATTAAAACAATTTTTGTTTAAAGCATTTAATTTCTACCTTTTTATCTACAAGGAAGGAGCAAAATTACGTACCCTTAAACTAAATTATGCTGTAATAGGAGCTTTTACCTCTGTGCCTTCGACTTCTTCCTTATTTTAAGTTTCCGATTTATTGCCAATGCCTTGTCCCGACGCAACTGAACACCATTGAGAATGTTGTCATTCGTGGAAAATGCGTTGCCATTCTGTAATGCACCGTGCCCCATACCCAAGTTATGTTCTTGCACTAATATGTCACTGCATATAGCAATAAATGAAACGTGGAGTCGCTTTACATATGGCAAATAATATTTGAACAAACTAGTGTAGATTTATAACTTTTAGTTCATCTGTTAGCTTTGATAACTATAAATATGTTGAAGTAGATGGTATTTCTTTGTACTGAATTTTGGACTGGAGCGGGATTATCTAAATGATGTCAATAAACAAGGAAATGTGGGCAAATTCTGATCTATTAGACGTGCCTCATAAATTTTTAGAAACAATCCCTGAATCATTTATTGAACATATTCATGTAGTAGTACATATTAAATTATTATAAGGAAATTTTTCTAAATTAAATTTGTAAAATTTTTAATTTGATGAAGATCTTTTATAAAAGACAGTCAATTTCTTTATTTTGAAAGAATTGAATTGATTTTGATTTAAGAAATTAAAAACTAGAGGCCGGAGTCAAGTGCTTGTTGAGAACAAGGAAATGATGAGAATTATATAGTGAGGACATATATGATTGCAAATAAATATGTAGGAATATTGGAAAGAGTTTTTATTAACGAAAATCTTTAATTTTTCCTTGAAAACTTCAAAAAGTTCAAATCTGGACCATTTCTACCGCCGGGTCGAGGCGGAGGGGACATACTCAAGGGGGGGGGGGGTATTAAGGTTAAAATCAGAATTAAAACTCAACATATCACTTTCTGACTTTTTTGTTAAAAAAGGTGTCTCCAATCAATCAAAAACATGTGTTTGCTGTGGTCTGACTCTAATTAAGAGTTTTCATTATTGCATATTATAATGGGTTCAGAACAGGTTTTTGTTCTTACTGATTTTCAAACAAATTTTCAGGGTGCATCATTTCAACAAGTCGGGAAGCAGTTCCATATGAATAATATTATTTTGGTTTTGATAATATAACAGTGTATATACTGTGAAGCTGTGAACACAATCAAATAATTTAATAAATGTATAATGCATGTATTTGCCATTGATAGTAACATTTTTAAAAATGCATTTGTACTTTTGTCAATGTTTTCATTGAAAGAGATGGGTGGATGTTCAAATGTATGTAGAATGATGTTTATTTTCGAGTCAATGGAACTTACTACCACTATAATTTTAAATATATAATGTCCCCCCGATTCCGATGCATGTGTTATGAAATTTATAAAAACTGCACAAATCGTGGTTAGACATGCATGGGTCAACATAGTAAAATTACTAAAATCCTTTTGGCCTTCCGAAGCCACCACCTCCTAAAAGAAAATTTTCTGGAAATGTTTTCTACCTTGCAAACGTAACCAATATTATTGATCATTTCTTTATTTAAAAAAAATAAAAATTAAGAACAAAAATATTTAGACTAGGGTGGATCGTAGCTAGAAATTATATAATTAAAAAAAACAGTCACATGTATTGAACATGCTTTCAATGCATTTTTCCCCCTTCCGTTTAAATATACATTCGTGTACATGCAATTCTGAATGACTAAGATTTATAGATACAGTTAAAGGACAATATATATCGTATATTGTATTTAAAATTACATTTTTAAAAATCTCAATGCATTTTTTAAACACGGGAAGAAATAAATATATTAGCATCATTTTGAATACATTTTGCAAGTACGGGGAATGCATGTCGGGGGATGCATGTCAACCTTTCAAATTTTAATATACAATCGTGCATGTCATTCTTCGTTTATCTTAACAAAACTCATTTAACACAGGGTAGTATTTCGATTGGGCACCATATATTGTTCATCTCCAGTTGATGAGTGCATGCGACCTGTCAGCTTAAGATCAACGTGAGGATCAAAATTTATTGTGCCCTCTTGATTTTGACTGTTGCATAAGTAAAAAAAACATAAACAGCTATCAAACTGGTGCATTTTAATGAAATATTACACATTATAATGGTTTATGAACAAAGTATACTAGTATTTAGTTATTGCACATTTTGAATTCCGATATTTTTTGAATAATTTTTATTTCTTTTTACAGCGAAATTCGTACTTTGGACAGTAAAAATCGTACACGTGCTCAGTTTCGGTTTGTTTACCTATAGCAATATAACGATTTGTCAAAATGAAGACAACAGGTAAATATTACTAGTGATAATCCCCCACTCCGAAATCTTCTCCAGACGACAAGTTCCCGGCCCACTGATAAGGCAAATAAATAAATCCAGAGCAGTAAATGCTTCATTTTCTTAATAATTTTTAACTGATCAAACCGGGATTAAGTTTCGTACACAAAATTTAGTTAATTGAAAATAAAGAAGATTTATTGATTTTATGTTGTTTAACGCCCCTCTCGAGAAATTTTCATTCATATGGAGACACCACCACTTGCTGTTGGAGAAGTGCAATTGGTGGCCTTTACATGGCAATTAGGGCCATTGAACAGTGAAAGATTTTTTTCGTGCCAGCACCTACTGCGACACGGGACCTCGGTTTATACGGTTTCATCCGAAGGTCTGGTCTCCACGTCCCACAGTGGGATTCGAACCCGCGACGTATGAATGAACTTCTTACTTCGCGACTCTAGAGCAGACGTTCTTACCGCTAGTGCTAGACCACAGGTAGTTATATATACATATATATAATGTACAGTGGGGTATTTTTTTGTGGACGGATTATTTTGGGTTTTTAACGATTTTTTCCTGTACACATGATGAATAAGTGTAATGAATATAAGTTGTGAAAAAAATTCCAACAAGCGTCTTGAATAATAAAATTCTGCATATAACATGTTAGAGAAGTGTCAATATAAGTGTACTTGTAGTAGTGTCTGGACATTCATTTAAGTTATTTAGATTTTGCTTCTGCTCTAAAATAAATTTATTGATTTGGAATCCGCATTGAAAATATCGCTGCGATTGGATTTTTGTCTTTTAAACCTTGTCTTTGTTGTAGAAAATTCAGTTATATTTCAGCTAATTTGTGTTTGCATTTCAGATATCTTAAATTCTTCTAAATAAAAGATGTTCTTTAAGAATTCGAAGTTAAGAAAATGTCAATGATGGTACTTGTATTTGCAAGTAGTCCAGCATCCCATTTATGTTTAATATTTTATGTTTTATAGTCTCCAACATTAAGGATTTTTTAATTGTAAATATAATATAAGCGAGGATAGAGCTAGGTTCATTTCACTGAAATCATCTCAACAAAATTCAAGTTTTTTTTTTCAAAAACGCTACTCCGAGGGGGGGGGGGGGGGGGGGGGGGGGGTAGTTCCCCCCCTTTTTTGCAAATACTAGTATATACATAATGTAGGCATTGAAAATTGGATTTTACCTTTTTTGTTGGTTTAGCCCCCCCCCCCCCTCCTTTCAATTTGTTTCCGACGCCTATGATAAATGTAATCTAATTGAAACGTTATATACTTAATTTTCAAATTTTGTAAAATTCTAAATTTAAACATGCACATGGATACAGCTCAACGCACATTTTAAACTCGCATGGTTCTTCGCACAAATTAAGATCACATTGTTGTAATGCAAAATTTGTAACGTAACAACAAAATATATTTTAAAGGTTATTTATAAATTAATTTTAATCTTTTTTCCATTACTTTAAATATATCTCACACATAATAATTGGTAGGATTTTAATATACTCTTGGATGATGGATTATGACAGTTCCCAAATGGTTTTTTATGGTTTCTCGTCAAATGCAGCCATCTTTGTATCTGTTCATTTTGAAGCAAATTTTTGCCTTGCCTAAATACAGAAACAGTGCAGTTTATGCAACTTCTGTATTTTCTCCTTGGGACAGGGTACCCTGTATATGAAACAAGTGCCTGTGGTTCTCGTTCTCTTACATACAAAATATGTCTTATTTATGATTAAGTTTTTCTATTCTTCTATTGGAATAACAAATACATTTAAAATTATATTACCACAAAAAATAACTTATCTCCTACACAGAAAAGTTACACGAGTTTTCTTTATCAATATTTTTTTCAATGGGAACGTTGTTAACGTATTTTAACTGAGGTAAAATTACACTCTTTAAAATGTCTCAAGAAATTTTGCAGTTAGAAAACTTCGTACATTTCTTCAACTTTTATAAGTTATATTGAAATCTAAACGTTGCATTTTCCCATTCTTTACCAAGTTATGTGGTTTGACCTAACATTATGTTAATTAACGAGGCAAATATCATATTTGGTGAAAGAGGCGCCAATTTAAGCAATGATATTTTTATTTTGGGGAAAAACTGTTTCGTGTGTTATTTATCCTTTTAATAAGTAATTTTTACTTTTGTTTAGAATTACCAAAATACATGTAAATATCCTTTCAGGTTTTTTTTTTTCACATCGTATTACAAAATGAAATATCAACGATCTCGTAATCCATCAAATAATAACCATCTGCCTTGAATATTTAAAAGTATCTTCCATCTGCATTGAATGAATATATTTTTCTTGTTACTATAACATTGTTGAAATATAATGTAAAACTTCTTTTTTTTTTAGAAAAAGGAAAAGGTCCTTTATTTTTTTTTACTCGTATTAAAACAGCATTCCTCGCCAATACAGAGATCCAAATTAGCAATGGAGTGATCTTTTTCACACACTGCAACAAAGAATTTTTGGTTTCCGAAAAGTCATGTCCAAGAATCGGCTTCCACGTCCCGCACTTCGAACCACCGGTGTTAGGATCAACTCCTTTCTCTGCAACTCTCAACCTTACTCTTTAATCACTTCGCAGAACTGGCGACTATATTCCATTTGTATATCGCAGATGACTTTTTCCCCAAATTGTATTAAATTTAAAACACCCAACAAGATTGCATCAATATTAGATAATTCCTTTTAAGAAGACACATTTAGGCATTACCTTTTCGTTTTCCTTGGCTTTTTTTGCTGTCCTTCTGGAATTTTTCCATTTTGTATTAGTTCTGGTTTTCCTTTTTCCGACTCGTTGTTATTCAAAGTCATCATTAAATTGTTAATAAATAAAAAATATTGATATGATGTTGAGAAATATTCATATACATGAATATAGCTTAGGAATTCAGAATGAACATATGAAACTATTTTATAATGTATACCACGCTAGTATAGTCAAAGTTTTCATTTTTGCAAATGTTATAGTCAGAATCCAAACGTGTGAATGAAGCCTGCCTATGTGTTTTCGCTTAAATGAAACGTTTGTCATAAATTCTGTCTACTTGAAAAGTGACATCATGCTTCTGCATCGGATTTTATTTACCTATACAGTAACAGAAAGTAGACCTCCTCTCCAAAACGAGTTCAAGAGTTTTTATTATCATTGCTTTGTCGAAAAAACTTCGAAGGACGGACAGACAACCAACCTATTGTGTGCGTGAAAAATTATAACAAATCGTTGGCATATTAAGACACAGGAAACTTACTGAAAAATTGAAAGTTTGCATATTTAAATTATATAAATCATTTGTTTGGTTTTACAACAGACTCGATCGCAAAGGGCGGTTCTTGCAAGAAATTTTGAAAAAAAAAGACCAGCATCTTTCCTATACCCAATACCCATGGCAAGTTATAAAATGGAAAACAAGGAAGAATCCAAATAAATCCGATCCATTTATAGGCATACGAAGAAACCTTAAATTGGACGGAGGGGCTGTATAAATAATAATTGGAAATGTGTGGAAAAATTTAAATGCATAACACGCAAGTTTTATTATAAAAGTTGTGTGCAGGATAATAAGTTTTACGAAAAGTCTTGTCATGATTACTTAGACTTAAAGATTAGGTACATGTGCACTAAAATTCCTTTCGCTTGTTGTGGAACACTTGTGTCCGTTCAAAAATGGGAAATTCAAGGAGCATAACCTTGGCAAAGGGGCTTGATCGTACCAAAACAGAACTTGAACTATTCTTATTATTGGCCGCAGCAGCGGCCAATCTATTTGTGGTTGTGTTAGAAAGTGCACATGGGGAAACGAGACGTCATTTTTTATTAGACCAGTAAAATAATTCTTAATTGATAACATGTATAAATCATGACATGAGTAAAATATCTTAAAAACTTGCTTTAAACTAAGCATTGATTAATATTATGTTTCAGTTTCATTTTCCTTTCACAATAGATAATTAGTAATTTATGATTAAATAAAAAGAATTTGCAATAGGTACTCCCCAGCCTGGGAGTGTATAGGATATGAAAGGAAATCGTCATGATTTTCCGGATAATAATGACGTGATAAAATTGCATGGTGAATAAAAATTGAAAAGTCGTTCAACTAGTGAAAATTGTTTCGAATTATTACTGCAGCTGCGAATGACACAAGGATAATTGTTCTATACATTTTGAACCGCGCGTTGCAGCATAGCCTATTCTAGATCTGCAGAACCATGGGCATTATAACGTGACAAAGATCCGGGGTATCAGCACGTGTTCATCTTGAAAGGCCTACATCTTCATTTTGATTTCTTATAATTGACTTTATCAAATCGATGAATCCGTTTGATGAGCAAAAGTACTGAAATTTTTATTCATTTAATTTCTAAAAATTATTTATTTTGCTTTGAAGAAAGTGTGAAACAAAAATAACCACTATTACAGCTTTGAATATCCTGTGCTTTCTTTCAATGGGTGCTTTTAAAATTGTGAAAGTACTTTTTGAAATGCTAAATTTTGTTTAGGGCCGATTTGATGCTTTGCATCAATTAACTTGTGTTAAATCTGAATACTAAATTGCATTTCAATATGTACAACCTCTGCTAAGAAAATGACGGAAGTGCAACAACAGTCATCAGCAAAGCAATATAGCCCCTTCTTGGAAGGAGGCATAAAAATCTTATAAAGAGGACAATTGTATAATGTATTTACATATACAATGAATGAATTGTTAATATTATTTCTAGGTTGGGGACATTTATGTAATTGTTGGTTCTATATACTTAAATATTTTTATTGACATCATATCAAAGCTTTCGGAGGAGGAACTTTATTAAAACTGTTGGAGTTTACATTGATCATGACGATATGGTAGTATATAGATATGTGGAAACAATATAATTTTGTGTAATTTACTTATGTACAAAGTTAACATTAATTTTGGCCAAACGGATGGGATAGTTTGAAATCTATAGATCATTTTAAAATATTTTTTGAATAAACAAAAAAAAAAGACAGCGATACAGCAATTTTTTTTTTTCAAAATGTAATTTTTTTTTTTCGCATATGGAATTAGAATCAAATATTACTTGCAATAAAATATTTAACTAATAGCAATCACAGATTTTCAAAAGTCGAATATACATGATAGATTTTAAGACTGTTAACGTGACATAAAAGACACATTAAATTTTAAATTACTTTTTTACAAGTTTTGACTGAACAAGTATGGTAATAAATCCAATCTGTCACTGAATGAATTCTTATATGATTTCTTGGTGGAGGTACTTTTATGTAACTCGTATCTAAATATTATATCCAACCAGATATGATACTGATTTTGCATAGAAAAAAAGTCTTCATGAAACTTATAAATTATGCTCATAAGATACTGACTTCGGTGGAATTTATAGCTAATTACTTTTTTATCAATCAGCCGATATGGGGCCCCTTAATTGTTTACTCCATATAAATGCCATAAATGTTGTAAAAGTTTATTTTAAGAACTTCTTACTTATCTTAATACAACAAAAGTATCATAATAATAAATAAAAGCGTCGCACGACATATATATGGCAAAATATACGACCACTCATAGTCATTCAAATTTCTTTAGACACATTCAGTTCTTTTTTTTATACAATCTTAATGAGCGATATTTTAAAGATTTGGTAGATGTCGGTAATCAATCTTGCCAGCTGTATTTCTACCGTTACCAAGTTTCTAGAAGAGATTCCGTTCCTTTTACAAATGAGATGTTTGTGATACACTGATGCCCCCTCGCCCTTGATTTACATGCTAAAAATGAACTGAAAATGCAAATAATTCACATGGCCTTGTTTCGGAAACAAATTTTAAACCATAGTATAATCAATAATAACACAAGGTGTCTATAGCTAACTCCGAAAAAAAAAACACTCACTTAAACTTTGAGAGGAAATGCACTGGCACACGGTTTATTACATTTGTTTTCTACGATAATTTATCTTCACAACCATGTGGGACATGCATGTCTTTGGTTTCTTTTATCTCCGTAATGCCTAGGTCACATTTCCCGGCCGGTAGCCGTAGACCGGTGGTAATCGGTAGTAATCCGTGGTGTTAACGATGCCCCAACATCTGTCCACATCGGCCCAGTAGTCCTTAAAGTATCAGTCACATTATCCAGCGATGTGCATACGATGGGCAACCAATGCGTTTTATGAGAAAAATGGCGTGGTTGCCGGCCGGACTCATAAAGGTTCAGCGATGCATTGCTAAGCATAAAACGATGTTCCAGGATAATCGGCCGATGTATATTACATCGCTCATACATTGGTGAACATCGTTCGTACATCGGTCGACTACGGGCCAGTGTTTGGTCGAACATCGACCGATGATCGGTCGTTATCTGTTGAACACCACTCAACCCCCAGATGACCTCAGATTCAACGGATATTGGACGATGCTCGGCCATACATCGGCCGATCCTTGAAAGATGTGTTAATGATGGGTTGCCGATGAGGAGCGATGTGAGGCATCGTTGGAGACATCGCTGAATTTTAACTACGAATTATTTCCTACCGATGACCCCACCGATTCGCAAAAAAGACTCAGTCACCGTCCGATCACTAGTGGTGCCCGGCCGGCAACCACGCCATTTTCATCAAAAAACGCATCGGTTTCTCAACGTATACCCCATCGTTGGATAATGTGACTTATACTTAAACAGCGTCAAAACTCTGCTCGCCGAGTATAAAGTCGAACCCATGAAACGGTATGTGCAATCACAGGAGTCTAAAAAAAGTATCCGAAAAAAAAATTCCCATCCTCAACCGAAAAACACCATGATGGCAACGCATTTTTGAGGGACCCACCTTGACAAATAGATCTGGGTTTGGTCAGAAAAAATTCGCGACTAATTCATTATCCGGAGTGTTTTTACTACTGTTTACAGGGAAATATTCGCCCCCGTTTTATTTTCGCCCCTTTCGCCCTTACATCGTTTGGGCGAATTTAAAAAGGGGCGAATTCAAAATATACAATATATTTTCTTAAACAAAACTGTGACTGGGCGAATTTAAAACGGGGCAAAATTGGTTGCAAGTGTGAAAGGGCGAAAATAAAACGGGGCGAAAATAACCATGTATACAGTATTTAAACAAAGAACAAAGTAAGGTATTGCCCAAAAAATGCCGCGCTTCAAGTCTGAATAGTTGAAAATATTCTCAAAAGCTAAGAATTTTCCAAATTCAATGATATATAATTTATATATGTGACCCCAAAGGTTACTAAGTAATATGACGCTGAATACTACATCCTTTTATAGCACAACGTCGACATTTTACGAAAGAATTATTAACGCGACGTCATGAAAAAAATAAAGCTAGCGAGTTTTGCGTCGATTATCGCATCTAATCGTTACCTGACTCATCATTTTTCATTGATCATGTTTTTGTTTGCATATTATAAATATTGCAGAAAAAATATTCCACTGCGAATTTCAGCTAATTTTTTTTTTTAGATAAACGTAGAAATTCTGAGTGAACGGACTATTAATCTTGAAGATTTCTCAACTATGCTTTTCTATTTTTGGTATGGAAAAGCAGTGCAAAATATAACTAGTGAAAGTTATATATATATTAGATTTCAGATTGGTCTTTCTTTTTCGTTTTTCCTTACTTAAGATTTCGTTTTGAACAACCCCGTCTCAAATTAATTTTTTCCTTTCAAACATTTTCTCACGTACGTATGTACGATTGCCAAATACATGTACTAGTAATTTAATAAAATTCGATTGATTGACTTTATGTTTTCAAGTTTGCGAGTAGTTTATATTTAACTGAGACGATTAACAGTCCAGTCCAATACGAAAAATCGTAATATTACTAAAATTCGTAATATAAGCAATTTCTAACTCTTCTAAGAGTTACTTCCCTTTTTTTGATCCCCTTCACCCACAGATGCTTCGTGCCAAAATTGGTTGAGCGGTTGCAGAGAAGACGCTGAAAATGTTCAAATGTTAACGGACGACTGACAAAAACGGATAACAATAGATCACCTGAGTTGAAAATCTTCTTCTTTACTCCTGGACGTCAAGCAGTCAAACTGTTGG